TGGCACTGACAGAGAGCTCTGACGATACCAGTCTCCCCAGACTGGCACTGACAGAGAGCTCTGACGATACCAGTCTCCCCAGACTGGCACTGACAGAGAGCTCTGACGATGCCAGTCTCCCCAGACTGGCCCTGACAGCCCCGGCCCCGCCCGAGCCCCTGATGCTCACCGTCCCGGGACATGCCCACGGACAGGCACTTCCTGAAGCGGCAGTGCTGGCAGCGGTTGCGGTTCATGCGCATGATGAGGCAGCTCTCGTTCTTCACGCACATCTTGTAGTGGATGTTCTGCTGGATGCTGCGCCGGAAGAAGCCCTGCAACAGACCACAGACAGGGGGCGCTGTGAGTCCAGGGGCAGGCATGCAGCCTCCTACGCTTCTTATTCCCAGATACAACACTAGCCCTTGAACCTGCCTGCCATCACTTAAAGCGTTCCCTGTGTTAAAGATAACGTCAGGGTGACGAATATTCAGAGTTCATCTTACTTCACACCTCTCTAAGATGTGCTTTTATCCCATTTAATGGCAAAACAGAGATATTAAGATGCATACACATATGACATTCTCACACCTACTCTTCCTCCTGGGCTATGCACTTGATTCACTTAAGCGAATGTTTAATTGATCTAATTGTTTGCTGAATTAGATATTTCCAACGTCCCCGGAAGCTTACAAGTTGCACATTTAAAAATGATTTATAAACTCATTGTAAACTTCACCATAACAGAGGACCTGAAATATCTTAAAAGCAAAAACCACCAGATTCTGAATGAGCCCAGTCATCAGCTCAACAGAACGTCTGATTAGCCAATGGAGAGCCCTCTCACCTTGCAGCCCTCGCAGGCGTGCACGCCGTAGTGGAACCCCGAGGCGATGTCCCCACACACCTTGCACAGCAGCACCATGCCTCCCGTCTCTAGACAGGGACACAGGGACACAAGGCTGGTCACAAACGAGAGCAGGCCATTCCATCCACCTTTGGTAGTTAGTAATTAATTGAACCCAGGATCTCCCTTCAGACTAAAAAGACTCAGTTCCCTCAGCCTGTCAGTTGGGGGACACTCCCTTCAAAATAAAGAGACTCAGTTCCCTCAGCCTGTCAGTGCAGGACACTCCCTTCAGACTAAAGAGACTCAGTTCCTTCAGCCTGTCAGTATAGCATATTCCCTTTAAGACCCAGAACGCATCTGGGTGGCTCTTCTCTGGACAGATTCCAGAGCAGCAGGATCTATAACAGGGTGACCAAAACTGTACTTGATATTGTAAATGAGGCCCTATTAGTGTGTGCTACAGTTTTAACTTCCCTTGATCTGAATTGCTCACTGTTAACTACATATCCCAGCATTTTGTTTTCCATTTTAACTGCTTCCACCAATGTGGTTGAGAAGATGTCAATGGCGTGTCATAACAGTCTTACTCCTCGGTACAGGAGTTATGACCCACGCGCTGCCCCCAGAGAGGTGGGTGTCGCTGGTA